TCAAGTCAAACACCTCAGCATATATTTGGGAGACAAACTCTTTGTCCTTCAGCAACTTCTCTTCTGTAGCCTTGGCCATGTGGCATATATTGATATAGAAATTTATAGTAACTGCTGCCTGGGATAAGTGGCTTGAAAAGGCCATGTCAGATTGCTCAAAAATTTTGTAGCATTTGAGGAAACCATTCTTTATAATAGGCTTTTGTAAGGGTTCAAATGGAATCCTTGAGAATGATTTCAACAAATCCAAGCAGGTGCCCAAGTCCACCTGGGGCAAAGAAGCTTCAGTAGCTATGGAAGAGCTCTCAACAATCTCTAAAAGGGAGTCAGCAATGGTCAATGGCTCAACCTCATTGTTTATTGCTCGAGCTGGTGAAGATATGTCAAATAGGCTAGCCAGTTAAGCCTCGAAGATGTCTATCTCTTCTTCTGACATTTCCAGAACAAATGAGTCACTGGTTGAAGGAAGAAAGGGAAGCATGGGAATATGATAAAGGAGTGGAGGATTCCCCAACAGTGTCCATGGTCTTGGCTACCAACAAGTCTAAAGAAGAGGAACTGGAGCTAGATGGTGAAGAGGGAATTGGTGAGTTACTAGTGGTGGTTGGTACTTCCAGAGGAGACACTAGGGGAGTGAAGAGCTAAGACTGGGGCTCTTGTAGGTGACAAAGGGGTAGCTAGGACTCTGGAAGAAGGCTGCGAAGGTGAGGCAATGGAGATCAGGGGCAGGTTTAAGGAATTGAAAAGGCTAGGAGAAAGGGAAGATGGGACGCGTGGCCTCAAGGAAAAAAGGAGAGAAAATATGGGGAGTGAAGAGCTAGAAAGTGGAAATATTGACTGGATAGGCTCTGCACTCATTGGCACTTCAGATTGACTTTCCCATTTCCTTTTAAAGCTGCCCTCAGCTTTGCAGCAGTCAAAAATGGCACTTCATTCCTAGGCGAAGTAGAAGAAGGTAGTGATGAGATGGGTAAGTGTAGGCTGGCTGCTGCTACATTCCAGAAATGAAAGATGGGTAAGTGAAAGATGTTAAATATATGCTGAGTCTTGGAAAAGAGAGTTGTTAAAAGTGACTAAGAGTAATTACCAATCTCAGTGGTTATAGAGGTAATGATTGGAGAGTTGAAAAGGGTATAATGCTCAGTAATCTTGTTTTTCCTCGCAGCTTCCTTTTGTAATGCATCGACAACAGCAGTTTCCTCCCACAATAGTTGTTGTCGCCTTCTTTTCTCTGATCTCTGAAAGACAATAATCTCCTTGGACTATTCATTCTCTACTGCTTTGGCAACTGCCTCATGGATGGAGTCTATAATAAGTTCAATAGGAGAGAATGTCCTTTTCTTCTGCCTTTTTGATGGTGTTTTTTTTTTTCCTGTTTTTTCCTCTTCCTCTTCTAAGTGAGCCTCAGGTACCTCCTCTTCAAAGTTAAGCAAAAGTTTTCTTTTCTTCTGTTGTTGTTGCTTGCCTTTGAGAATATTTAAAGCCTGAGCCCTTTGAGGAGAAGCCTCCTGTGAAGCTTTTGCATCAAAATATTGAAGCTATGAGTAAATAGACAAAATATCATAAAAGGAAAGAGGTAAAGGGAACAGGGTGCATACTTTTCTTCGAAGTGGCCCTGGTGACCCTAGAAGGAGGAGATGAGGCAGTAGAAGTAGGAATCGGGATAATAGGAGCAGTGGAGAAGATAATAGTGACCCTAATCTCCTTGGGCTTGGCTTGAGAAGGCATATCTAGCCCTACTAGCAGATCCTTGGGGGAAATGGCTAAGTATACTTCCATATTAGTTGTCCACCAATTTTGATATCTCTTTAGTGCACTGTCTAGTGGGATGAAGGGAGAAAATTTGAATTCAATCAAATCTTGTATTAGCTTGGAGGTTGCTTCATCCAGCTTGGTTTTTTGCACTTTCAGCTCTCTGGTTGCTAGATTTGGATTAGAATGGCTGCAAAAAGGGACAGGAATCCTTTGAGTAAGCCCAAATTGCCTAGCAAATTGGGCAGGGCAGTAGGCTTCAGATATGCATTTGTATGCTCGAGGATTTAAGGTGCCCACAAAAAGCTTCCTTGGGGTCAGAATGGAGGCCCACATATCTTTGTGTTGGGGACTGGAGCATATCTTGTCAGCTAGAAAGGTTCTTAGCCATGTTGGCCCGATGTTAGCTTCGAAGGGACAGAAGAATGTGGAAAGAGGGAAAGCTGGGAGTTGGTGAAAAAAGGAAAAATAGAAGGCAAAACCGGATGGATAGAGGGAGATTTTGGCAAACTTCACCCCCTAAGTGGTGGGGTCTTGCACGAAGAATTTTAAACATTTGGAGTGAAACGCTGGTAAGTATGTAAAAAGCCATAGTTGGAGTACCCAAAATGGGCCTTTTTGGTTAACATCCATGGGCTTCTCACAAAATTGAGAGCAAACTCTATAAACATGCCCCAAAACATAAGGAGCCAAGGCTATCTTCTTCTTTGAAGTAGGAGCATTGGCAAGAGGAGTAAACTCATGCATAATCCTCTGAGAAAAGGTACAGAAAAGGAATTCCAAGGGGTCTTGCACTTGGGCACTCACTGATATTTCTCTTTTGACTTCTTCCATATTCGAAGCAACCCTTTCATTTGGCAATACTTTTAACCTTCCTGGTTCAATATCCCTACTCTCTTCTTCATAGAATTAATTATCCACAACCACATCCCCTAACTGGATTCACCACTCATTTACTCATTTTCACAAACTAGTTTTCCAAGAATTACTTAAAGTGAACAATTATGAAACCAATGATTCAATAATATGTTCAATACAACGCATGAGTGATAAATATTTCAATTCGCCTAGTTCACATGTAACTTCTATCACACGACAATGCTTTTATTCACCGACAGCCAAATTTGATGTCCCAAGTCTCAAAACTAACTTGATTGCGCGTTTCGGATTTATAGTTTTTTTTTTCCAGAACCTTAAAAGGTTATGTTGCATCGATGTTTGTGAATTTGAACTTGTTTAATCTTCTTAATGTAAGGTTGTTAGTAATAGTAACAATAAAAGTAGATGATAATTGAAGATTGAGAACCAATAATTGCCTAAGAGTGAACATTTTCGTTATTTAGGGTCGATTATCACAATGGCAGAGGAGATTGATGCGAACGTGGCCCATAGGATTAAAGCGAGATGGCTTAAGTGGAGAAGTGCGTCTGGAATACTATGAAATAAACGAATACCCACTAGACTAAAAAGTAAGTTCTGTAGAACGATTATTAGACCAGCGATGTTGTATGGGATGGAGTGTTGGGCAACTAAGAAATAACATGTAGATAAGATGAGTGTTGCTGAGATAAGGATGCTAAGGTGGATGTGTAGCAATACTAGACAAGACAGAATTAGGAATGAGTGTATTCGGGAATGGGCAGGAGTATCACCGATAGAAGATAAGTTAAGAGAGAATTGATTGAGATGGTTTGATCATATCAACGGAGACCAATAAAGGTAGTAGTGAAGAGATGCGATGCAGCGACGGTAGATAGAAGTAGGGGTGGGCGCGGGTCGGTTGCGGCCACGAAACCTCCAATCCGCCATCTGTCCGCCAGATTGGCGGATTGAAGAAAATCAATCCGCATCCGTCCGCCAATCCGGCGGATGTGGATTGAGCGGATTGGCGGTTTGGCGGATGGATGCGAATCGGTTTGGCGGTTTAAAATTTTATAAATTTTCAACATAATTCAACTTGTGCACTTCCTTAAAAAAAAAAAGAAAAAAAAAAAGTATTACAGTCAATGACTTAAAAAAGTATTACAATCACTGTATGCCTTATCCAAAGAAAGAAAGTTTGAAACTTTAGAATATCACGATCACTGTATGCTTCATCCACATATTACAATTACAGCATGATTCATCCCTATAAAGTATTACAATCTGTGATTCTTAAAATATAATAACAATTCAAACCACCAAAACCATAAACAGAGCAGTAGTAGAGATTGAATGTCTCTATATTGTTACATCTACATATGTTTTTGAAAACAAAAACCAACCAGCATATATCATATTTTTTATTTATTATTGTTAGAGTTAGATTTAAAAACTAAAAAATATAGATGAATAATATGTTTATTTTTTTCAATTCAAAAATATATTCAAGTTGAAAACTTTTTTTCAACAGAATATTTAAACTCTTTTTCAATTGAAAACACAAACATAATATTTAAACAAATTGAAAATACAAAGTCTTATAAATTACTACAGGTGCTCGCGATTTGGCGGTTTGGCGGTTCGGTTGCGGCCAAAAAATCTCAAATCCGCCATCCGTCCGCCAAATTGGCGGATTGGAGAAAATCAATCCGCAACCGTCCGCTCATCATCACGCATCCGTCCAAAATGCGGCGGATCGGTTCGGTTCGGTCGGTTTTGGCGGATCGGTATATCCGCTGCTCACCCCTAGATAGAAGTGTTAGGGAACCGAGTAGATCTAGATTAACGTTGGCTAGCGTTGTAAATGGAGATATGAATCTACTTAATTTGATTAATGAAATGGCCTCTGATAGAGCCGCGTAGAAAAGTAGAATTTATGTATTCGATCCCATTTGATGGAACTTAAGGTTTCGTTTGGTTTGGTTTGATTTGGTAAAGAGAAAATGTATGTAAAATATGAATAAAATATATTTATATTTTATTTAATTTCATATATATATATATATATTTTTAAATCTCTTTTCAATTTTTTTAACTAAATATATTGTAAAGATAATTTCACATATAGATAAAATTAAAGAAAAAAAAACATATCATCATATATAAAAAACGACAATGCTACGTAACTCAAATTTTGTGGCTCAAAAGTGGCTCAAATGGCCAAAACGTTTTGACCATTTGAGTCACTTTTGAGTCACAAAATTTAAGTTACGAGACATTTTCCAATAAAAAAATGTAAAGAAATAATGAAATCGTGTAAGTAGAATGACGCTATGTTTATTTGGGTTGGAAATGAGAGTGGGAGAGCCACGCAATCCAGATTAGGAAGCAGAATTTACACTGCCAAGCGAACACTATACTCTCTATTCTATTCATTGTTATCAACGTTTTCAAATTTTCTTGGTTTCAACAACAGCCCCTCACTTGCCCCATCCATCCTCCATTGCTCTCTCTCTCTCTCTGTGCATCGACTGTGAGAGTGAGCTATAGCAATGGAGATGGCCACAGCCTTACACAGCTCTCCCACTCCTTTCATATCCCTCACAAACCCCAACCCTAAGAGAGGCTTCAGTTTTTCGTCTTCTCTCCTCGTTAATCAACCCTTTGGCCGTACCTTATCTTCAACTTTAACCACCAAACCACCATTCAATTTCCATTCCAGAAATTCAATTCGGACTTCACTCAAATGCTCTGTCTCTGGAGCTACAGAAGCCGTCCCTGGTAATTCCTATTTCTCCATTCTGTTTTTTCCACTACTTTCCCTCCTTTCAATCTCAGATTGCTTCCTGTCATCTTCATACATATATCTATCTATATATATATATATATATATGCATATTATATTAACTGTGGCTACTCTAGGAATTTTTGTACATTAAAAGGCTTAAATCATACAAATTGTACAAAAATTATCACTTGTCAATATCATCACCTATTTCTAATAAACCCACAAATATTAAATAAATAGAATCTACTTTTCACTCTTGCTATTGATAAAGTACAAGGGTTTGTATCTACTCATATGTTACTTACTTTTAGTTCTCTATGTAATGGAAAGACAAGACAATATAGGAGAAACAAAAGAAATTGAATTCTTCATGTCTTCCACATTGATGTGTGCTTTCCTCCTATTTGAATTCAAATTCCTTCAGCAACTGTTGGAATTACTGCTTCCAATTGTTCTCGTCTTCCAGCTTGTCTCTTGTTTTGAATTGTTTTTCCAGTTGCTATCCACGTGTCTGCAGCTGTGGTTCTATCTATTCAGAGGATGTTTACATTGCCATGTGTCCTGTCTTTATTGGTGAATTTAATCTAGGCACCAACAGAGTCTATTCGTAACATCACCAACCCCCTAACCAATCAACCCTCCCTCCCTCTCATATGTTTGCATATCCTCTATGTCACGCACTGACCGATCCAATAGTGAAAACAGTGATCTGATCCTATGCGGTTTCAAACAGTGCTTGGTTCAAATTGGATGAATTTCCTTCCCACCTGAAGAGGTCGGTTCAGTTAATGGTCTGACAGAAAACGTGAATCAACTCGATCCGTGAACAACCCTGATTTCTTAGCATTTTCTTTATAGTTTTTTTTACTTGTGCAACAATCTTAGTTACAACTTACAAGGTAATGATGATGTGGAGCTTTTTTATTCATGAGTGAGCTCAAAAAAAAAAAACCCCATGAGATGAACATGCTAAGTTACCAACTTTTTAGCTGTAAAAATCTTAGTGGAAGTTGTGAACTTGTGATTTAAAAAATGAAGCATCTATCAACAAAGTAAAAATTTAAATTTTTAATGGCTAAAATTTAATAAAAAGCCATCTTTAAGTCTTTTATTGAGATTTTTAGTCCATGCCAAACAAGCTAATTTTTATTTTTTTATTTATTTAAAAAAAGACAATTGTGCATGGAAAAAATCCTCACTCTATAGAGGCAACTAGATGAGGCTCCACGAATCGGTAGCTTTTGTAAAAACCCAAACACCATTAGTGTTGCGTAGCCGGTGGCTTTGGGTTGGGGGCACTTTGATGGTTAAGTTAGTTGCTTGCAAAGAAGATGAGATAGACAACCAAGAGTGTTCGTGAGTTAAGAGTGTTTGGCGTATCCTTTCTTGTGGTATCAACCTCTATTGCCTCGTTTGGGAACTTGCCTATTTAGTTGACTTTTTGGCTATTTTATGAGATGAAAAGAAGTTGTGTTTGGGATGGTTTGTGGATTTTTTTTTTTTTGTTGAATAGATGGTTGTGAGAAAAAAAAGTGATTGTTTGATGTGTAGGATGTGACATTTTATCTTATTGGCTATTTTAGCTAAAAAAATGCTTTTGCCAAACACCCCTTGTACATATATAGATTTGAGTGTCTTGTCCTCCAAGAGCATCAACAATGGTTAAGTAACTTTTAGTGGACAAACCGACTATCCTTACACGCTCTGCAAGGCTAAATTCTGGTGATGTTCCCCTAGTAACCTGCTCTATTCATACGGGTAGGATCTTGCTCCTCAAGGTCGTTATTCTTTGTGCCAACCATAGTTCATTTGGGGTGTTATTCTTCCTCCCAACTATACTTTTTTGGGGGAATTATCATTCTTTCTCAGACCATGTCCCCTTTAGGAGTTGTTCTTCTTTCGAGCTGTTGTACAACTCGGCAAGTCAGTGTGGCGTTTTGCCATTGAGCTTTTCTATTCCGCTGGGTTGGCCTAAATGGCTAAAATCGTGGGGGTTGCTTGGCCATGTAGCTTTTTCCAATATAAATGCCAAAAATTAAGTTTATAAGCTTTTTGCAAACATTTGCTAAACTCAATAGCACTACATACACACGTCAAGAGGCAGCTTTGAAAGAATCCAACTCCTTGGTGATTAATTTGTGCAATAAATTATAAAGTAAGTTTTGTATTGATTAATAAATTATGAATATGGGTAAGCGCAATATTTAGAACAAGAGAGGAACTACATGGGTAAATATATTTGGGATGATCTAAATAAGTGTACTTTTTGACTTTTTATGAAACATGGGTTGCGTATGGGTTGGGTTTTGAAGTGATGTGGTAGAGAGGTGATGTGACTTAAATAAGATGATGTGACTTAAATAGGATAGTGACTTTTTGACTTTTTGTCTTTTTGTCTTTTTTAGGTTATGACAAACAAGACCGAAGTAAACAATAATATAAACCAATATAACAACTTACTTTACACAAGACTGTACAACTTAACTTTAATAGCTGTATTTGCTATTATAAAACACTCATCAAATTTCTCACTACAATTACATATATAAATATATATTTTTTAAAATAAAACTTATTAATATATTTGATGGGTGTAATGAGAAATTATGAGGTGCATGCAGAAACTTCCATCTCTAAGACCTTTTTGTTGGAGCCCCTTTGGCCCAATAATTCAACATTTGACAAAATTCCATGTATGCCCTCTTTCCTACTACCTCGTTTCCTTGCTTTCATCAACGGCCCTTCCCTCCACTTAAAACAAAGCTAGTCAATGACGCTTTCAATCCATCTTGTAAACTTTTACATAGCAACCAAAACCCTAATTGCAAAACAATTACTTGTGGCATTTTAGGTTGTGAGCAATCCCTATTCTTGACTGATCACTGGCCACAGTATCTCAAAATCTCAATTGGGTCTGAAGATTTTCTTCTGGGTCAGGCCATTCATGGATTTTTATTGAAATGTGGTTATCAAAGTGACATCTTTCGAGGCAACAATCTTGTAAGCATGTGTGTAAAATTCAATAGATTGGATGATGCACAACAGGTGTTTGATGAAATGCTTGATCGGAACACAATCACATGGACCTCTCTTATTAATGGGTATTCACAGGTTAATGATGTTAAATCTGTTACTAGAATAACTCATCATATGCATAAATCTCATGAAGATTTTAATGAGCACACTTGTTCGGTAATTTTGCGGGCATGTGATTCACCATATGAAAGGATTTGTGGTGACAGATTCATGGTTTTGTCATAAAAAGTGGGTTTTTGTGAGGATATTTTTGTTGGAACTTCTTTAGTTTCTATGTATTCAAGAAGTGGCCACTTGGATGATGCAGATAAATTGTTCAATGAGTTGATGTACATAGATGTTCGCTGTTTGAATTTGATGATTTGGAACATGGGAATGCTGGATATGGGGAGAAAGCACTTTGGTTCTTTCTTGATTTGCTTCATATTGGGTTGGAACCAAATGATTATACATTTACCAATGTAATAAGTGCTTGCAATGGAACTGTAGGCTTGGAGAAAGGCAGGCAACTACATGGACTTGCTATTAAGCATGGTTTAATGGGTAAAACCTCTGTTGGAAACATAATTATTACAATGTATGGAAGGTATGGGTTGGTTGAAGAGGCTGAGTGTATTTTTTATGGAATGGCTGAGAGAAATTTGGTTTCTTGGACAGCTCTTCTATCAGCATATGTGAAAAATGGCCATGTTCACAAGGCGTTTGTTGGGTTCTTAGACATGGTTAACCAAGGACTAAATTTGGATTCTAATTGTTTATCCTGTGTGCTTGACTGCTGTTCAGAGTGCCAGAATTTGGACTTTGGACTTCAAATCCGTGGATTTGTGATAAAGCCTGGTGGTGTAGGACGAGTAGGGATTACTTTCCTATAAGTAGTGAGCCCGGGTTAAGTTTACTATTTGGTGGGATTTTGTGACTGCAGAAGTATTTAAAAAAAATAGGAATTTAAGGGTTTGTAAAAGGGTAGGGTTTTGGAAATGAAAACAAAAGTGTTTAGGGGCAGTTGAGTGGTTGTTCTAAGTACGGTGAACAGTAACCTTGTTGGATAGAAGAAGAAGAAGAAGAAGAAGAAGAGGAGAGAGAGAGAGAGAGAGAGGTGCTTAACCCTCACAAGGGATAGGCCAATCACACAAACACAATCTCAAATTTCACAATATTAACTCTATTATTGAATCATTGAGATTACACATCTATTTATAGGCTAAAGACTCTCCTAATTCTATAAGGACTATTGCTCAAATTTAGAAACTAAAAATATTTAGCAACTACGAATATTTTAGACCAACTATGACTTCCAATTATACTTCAATTATAATAGGAAACGTTTATGACTTCTAATTCTGCTTCAATATCAAAATAGGAAATTTGAACTTTTGACTGCGAAAATTATTTTAGACATAATAAAACCCATATATAAGATCCATTTAATAACTTGACCCAAAATAAAACCTATGGGCGACCCCTAAAACCCATGTTCAACAATTATTGGAATTACCATTATACCCTTAATTACTAAAACCTATTATAATTTCATGAAGATTCAAAATTATTCCAAATTTTTAATTCTTGATGCCCTAAATGTGCTTCATGTGAAATTCTAGATTTACTCTTTTTTTTCTTTCCATGATTTTCATCATTCTCCCTGCATTCGAAAAAACTCGACGTCGAGTTTTATAATGTTAAAGTATAAGGATTGTGGAATCTTGCACTTGCAACCATTCAAATTGATTATTTTGAATGAATGATGAGAAAATCAAAAAGTTCAATGTTGTCATCACTTCGTTGACCACATCGAATTTATTAGGAATAATAAACTCAATATGCACTTTATTTTTCTTGTGAAAAGCAGAAAGTTCAGTTGCATTTTCATTATTTTCTGTAGCTTCCTTGGCTTTAAAACCTTGATCATGACGATCTTTCATGCTTTCTTTAGTAAGCAATTTAATTTTTGCCTTTC